GACATACATGTTTGTTCTTTTGACAGTTCATAAGATAGTCAGCATTCTCCAACACCACTGCTCAAAAGCATCAATTCTTATGCTATCCTTACCCATTGTTCTGCTCTCAGATGAATAGCAAGTGACTAAAAAGACATTGCCCTGAATCGGGTGCACCTTAGTCTTCAAACTGACATCAATGCTCCTCAGTAATTTGGAGAGGTCTCTAAGACCAGACTTGCCCAATACAATACATCTCCTGATTTCCTACCTCCTGGTACACAGAGTATTGATTATGGATCCAAGTAGGATGAAATCATTGGCTATTTCAATCTTTTCTCCATCTATCATGATGTTGCTTATGATTCCAGTGGTGAGAATTTTTGTCTTCTTGATGTTGAGATGCAATCCATATTGATGGCTGTAATTTTTTTTATCTTCTGCAGAAAATATATCAAGTCCTCCTCACCATTAGCAATGTGTTACCTGCATACTGCAAATGATTGATGAATCTTTCTCTTCCATCCTTCTAAAGTCCACATTATTGAATTATTTGCTCAGCATACAGTTCAATATTGAGAAAGGTATTGAGAAAGGATAGAACCCTGACACATACCTTTCTCAATTTTAAACCAAGCAGTGTTCCTTGCTCTTTTGGAACAATAGCTTCTTGGTCCAGGTATTGTTTTTATAAAAGCATAATTGCCAAAACAACAAATGGATATACAAGGATGTGGAAGCTCCATCTCATACTTAGGGTGTACTGTTAGGAAAGGCTATGTCTTGGAAAAGGACATCATGCTAGGAAGGGTGGAAGGTTAGCAAAAGAGAAGACTCTCAACAGGTGCACTGGCATGTTAACCTGCAGCAATGAGCTGGCGTGTGACTGAGATGATAAGGAAGGCACAGGATAGTACAAGGTTCAGATCTGCTGTTCATAGGGTGGCAATAAGTTGTACTCAACTTGAGGGCACCTAACAGCAAACATTAAATTAAGGGTTCCTTCATAAGCTATATTCCCAGGACAAGAGCTTTCCCAGTAAAATGAGAATCTGAAGTAGAAGAGGCAGGAGCTGTACTTTCCTGAAAAAACAAACCATAACCAAAACAACAGCAGGCGATGGTCATTTAGTGCTTTCTATGAAAAGGAAAACAGACCCAATCTATGGTAGTATGGTTTCTTTATTTCACTTTACAAGGCAGGCATCCAGCTCACGACTCTGAAAAAATATGTTAAACTAAACAAGAAAAATGTAACAGGATACTATTTAAAGATAGTCCTAAGTCAGGATTAAATCTAAAGTGAAATAAAATTGGTGGAGATTTGCCAGGTCATGAATTCAAGTGACCCATTTTCCTATGCTTCCTTCTCAAGCTCATTTTTAGTCTCCCCTTTCTCTGGACCCTATACCCTCTTTGCTGGGTTGTGGTTTTTGTTTTCTTTTTTTTTTGTCATTGTTGTTGTTGGTTGGGTTTTTTTCCTTTCTTTTTTACTTGAAACCTGAGAAATCACTAGCCTTAAAACACAAAACCCAATTTTTGAGCTGAATAGAATTAAAGAAAAAGAGTATTTCTTGACAGAATTTCTTTCCTTACTCATCTAAGCTATGCTGTTCTGAGTTTCCTTGCTGGGGAAGGGAAAGATAAATTGTCTACTAAGGATGAACAAGTTCTCTATGAAGAGAGGAGATTAATTTCTCAGATAAAGTTTAAAAAGGTGGGGGGAGGTGAAGAACAGATATAAAACATAATCTTTGGGGATTTCACAGGTTTATAGATCCATAGATCACTGCAGCTAGGAGCACATTTATGAAAGAAAGGGACTGGATAGGGGACAGCAAGAAAAAGTGCCCAACTTCAGAGCCAGATCTCATGAAGTCTGGTGAATAAGCAAAATCAGATGGACAATTTCCTCCCATGAGCTGTACAGCCTCTAGAAAAGCCACTGGTGGGTCAGCTATGAGTCGGTTCTGACTTGACAGCAATGAGAGTGAAAGAGAGTGAGACCTTTCACTGAAAAAGAAAGTAAACATCCCACGTTTCATTATCAGTGAGTAGAGGAAGAGCCCCATGTGTAAATGTGTATGTGTGTATTCACTGGCTTCCCACTTAGGTTACCCACTGCATATACTAACCAAATGGCATCAGCTTATCTATTACCTGTCCTACTTTGCTCCAATTTCCTTTCTCTTCTCTAACACCACTTGCTTCACTGTTCTTCTTTAAGACATGGGATGGGGATTTGTCAAAGTCAATGAGCACTTTATTACAGTGAGAACGGTCTGTAATGAACAATTCAGCAATTTAATGAGATTCTGTAGATCTGTCTCCAGCCTGTCCATCAAGTTTCACTTCTGTAAAGCACCCTGACACTAATCCTCTGGCATACCCAATCTTCACCCTGGGCTGAATATTAGATTCTTCCATGGTATATTGCATTACTAGTATAACCTTAGCAAAAATTATGAACTTAACTATACTTGAGGCAATAGAGCTGGTCTGATTTGATTTTTCTCTACTGGGTTGAGTATGAGGGAATTACTTATTTACTAAGATAAAGCAAAAATCAGTTTCTTATTGCCTGCTGAATGCCTAAATGGATAATGTATATGTAAGTCTTTTGATTCTTTGAGGACCAGGTATAAAATATATATATATATATATATTGCCTGCAGCAGAAGCCAGTTTAAAAAATTCTATATTACAATACTTGTAATCTATAGAGAGACAATTATTATAACTCTTAAATGGACAGTATGAATTCTTTCTGACAATCAGAAATCTGCACATTACCACATCTATTTCTGGCTGTGCCTTCCACCAAGCCACAAAGAGGGAGAAGCCACAGGATGGTAGCTTCAGATCCCAATTCATTCAGAAATAATTAAATGCAGAATTCATTCCAAGCCTTCTTCCCTTTGGGAGGCAAAAGAAAATCTGACCACTTCTTTCTTTGAATTAACCAGTTGATTCTGATGATTTGTTTACATAAGGGAGAGTAGCACACAACTGAAATGCCTAGCACTTTAAACATACATATTTCTTTTTGTTACATGTTGTTAAGTTGACCCAATAGTGACCCTATCAATAACAAATTTGAGCTCTTCCCTATCCTTTGTCATTCTCACCATCTCTAACATACTGGACCCATTGTTACAGTCACTTCTTGTTGAGGGTTTTCCCCTCATTCACTGACTTTCCACCTTTCCAAGCATGTTGTCCTTTTCCAAAGACTGGACCCTGATAATAACATGACCAAAGTATGTGAGACAAAGCTTAAATATATATCCTCACACATACATATACATATACATATACATATACATGTATATGCATATATGTATATATCTATAAGTCTTTTGATTCTCTCTCTCTCTCTGTGTGTGTGTATATATATATATATATATATATATATATATATATATAGCTGCTCTGTGCAAGAAAGATGGGTAAATCTCCTCCTGGGCCATTAACTGCCTCTGAAAACCTGAAAACCTTCCGGAGGGTCAGGTATGGGTAATTCTGACTCGACAGTACAAGAAGAAGATACATGTATATACAGATAATATACATTTATATCTTGTGTACACACACATTTGATAAAATGTACAGCTTACTCTCACCCCCTTTAGGTTTCCCTTGTCAAGGTAGTGTGGACTAGCAGACAGATGAGGCAGGAAATCACTAGACCTAGATTCGCAGCCTGGCTCCCTCTGTAATCCTGAGGGGGACCCTGAAGGCTTACTTTGATCACCTGGTAGATGGGGATGATATTAGTCACTTGTCAGGACTGTTGTGAAGCTCAGGTAGTAAGTTCCTACAGAGGCTGAGCCCAGGAGAGCCCTCAGTATACTGCAGCTCTTATTACCATCACTGGTAAAAGCAATAATTAAGACAAGACAGCTGATTAAAGTAAGACAGAGAAAGACATAACAAAAAAATCAGGGGGGAAAAGTCATCAGCCAGTGGAATTAGATACTGGAAAATTGTTGTTGCATGCAGGACTGACCCATAGCTGACTCTGAGAGGCAGTAAATAACATGGGAGATTGCCTATCCTTCTCCCACAGAGCAGCTGGTGGACTTGACCACGTGTCTTACCTTCTAGACCACCAGGTACTATATATTATTCTATATACACAATTTTGTTCCAATGTCTTTTGGTAAGATATCAGGAATTCATTCTCTCATTAGCTAATAAATATTTTTCAAATGATCATACAATCTTGAAATAACACATGGTCAGCTAGTCATTTAGAGAATCAGATAAACTGCATAAGCAGGAGTGGAAAGATGGCCTCTTTTTCCCCACAGAAACCACGTGGGTGGTTCAAGGAGAGTGGCTGGGGACTAGAGGAAAAGGATTTAAATTGAATGATCAACTTCAAAACACGAAACATTCCCCCGTCCCCTGGCCAAAGGATATGCAAGAAGAATTTGATGTCAGGCGACAAGGCAGAGCTTGAGAAACCAGCAATGAATGTAAAATGAGTAGGGAGGAAGATTTTTACCCCTCTTCTGCAGTGAAAGGAAAGCTTCATTTCATTAAATGTCCAAGCTGCTCTCGCTGCTACAGAGAAATGTTCAGAATTTGTTTACAGGAAAGGCCAGAATTTATTCTTATCCCACTAGTCTTAAAAGTGCATAAATAACACTTCTCAAACCATCTTTTCCATATTCATTTTAAGAAACAATTTTTATCAGGGGAAAAATAAAAGCATAAACAAATCTCTTTGACTTTTTTCTGCTTTAATTGCAGTAGGATCTTGGGAAGCCACAAGGTTTTGGAAATGTGAGGGTGTCCAGAGCTCACCTGTGACTTTTTGAGGCCAGGTGAGATGGTTGAGTCACAAGAACTTGAGTTCTCAAACCCTTGTTTATAAAAAGAGCATAATTTCTAAACCCTGAACCAGGACAAGGGCCAAACAAGGTAAGGCAGTTTCCATTGCTTGTCAACCCTGTAATTTTAACCATTCCACGCCATCTCCAGGTCCCAAGAGGACCCACGCAAAGCTCCCTTACCTGCCAGATCTGCTCTTCACTCAGGGAAGTGAGGCGGTCACTCTTGAGGACCTCCTGGAGCAGACAATAAGGAAGCGTTAGAACATCTTCAGGGCGACTCTTCAGGAGTTCAGACAGATGCTTCACTAAGAAATCGATCACTGCCTTCTCCAACAAAGTGAGGTTGAAGAGGTCAGCAAGTCTGTACAGATCCAAGTAATTAAAGCTATTTAATTCCTGGGTGTCAGAGAATAAAAATGAAAAGAAAAAAAAAAGATCTCTTAGAAATCAATCCAAAAAAAGAAGAGAACAAGAAATTCAGATAAACTCACCTAAGTTTGTATGCCAGGAGTGAAGGTACGGAACACGTCCCACATGCCTCAGGGGGCAGATAATGTTCTAGATTTTGTCATCTCCAATCTCTTTGCTCTCTGGTCAGGCTGGAACCAACTCAGAGCTGATGCATCAATGGGTTTGCTAAGGCGCTAATTCAAGAGGGAGGAGATTGTCCACCCTTCTTCGCTGGAGCTGCTGATGGATTCGAGTCCCCTGAGAGTCACAGCCTTTGGGCGGTGTAGCCCCCCAACGATGCCTCCAGAGCTCCCTAACATACTCAGAGACGTTTTAATAAGCCTCAGGAATGAGTTTCTGTTTTTACATTTTTCCATTACTTTGTAACTTATCAAGAACTGTTTTATTAAATGAAGACAGTGGCTCATCTTTGGGAGACAGAAGGGCACGCTCCTCCCTTTAAAGAGCTTCAGCCTGGAAACCCAATGGATGTCACCATAAGTTGGAATTGACCCAATGGCAATGAGGTTGGTTTGGGTGCCATATCTTACAGTTTTTAAGTGATAAGCTTATTTTTTTAAAATAAAAATTGAGGGTAGATAAAAATGTCAATTTCCCCCAAATTTCTAGGTAAACCTTTGAAGAAAAATAACTCAAGCATGCAATTTTAAACACAAAGTCTCAGGATATGAGGAAAACTCTCTGAAAATATACTTTGTAAAAAAAGTTAATATTTTTATCATTCTTATACATTGTATTTCTGTCTCAAATTAATAGAAAGTCTATCTGAGTTATTTATAACTTTTGTTCTTGTCATCATCTTTAGATCTTCGAATATCCAATGACACCTTTTCTTTCCTTTTTAAAGATGGTTTTTACTGCAATGCTTTCCTTTTGGGGGGATTTTACTTGTTTGTGCAAGTCTCAAGGAGCCCTGGTGGTACCCTATAAAACATAACTATCTAAAACCTTAAAAAAGGTGCCTGGTACCTCAATGGTTAAGTTACTCGATGTATCAAAACATTGGTGGTTTGCACCTAGAAGCCACTCCACAGTGGAAAGATGTGTCAGCCTGCTTCTGTAAAGATTATTGCCTTAAAAGGCCTGTGGGAGAGTTCCACCTGAATTGACCAGATGGCAAAGAGCAATGTTCAAGTCCCCAATTCTGTATTCTGTAATGCTTCAGTGAGTATTTCAGAGGGCAATTGGCTGTGGCAACAGAAAATTTACCTGCTTTAAGTGGCATGAAAGTGATGGTGCTCTAATTTCCTCACATTTTCATTTCTAGTTATTAACATTTCAACAGCATCTTTCAGTAACTTAGAATAAGCAGAATGTCCTAAAATAGCTATTTCACTATCTTGATCTAGTTAAGTAATTTTCAATGCACACTTCCCACTTTCTAGTTAAAGTACTAAGGACTCTTTCAAGAAATATTCTATCTGAATGTGCTGGCTTCAAAAATATTTGAGAGTTCGAGTTATTATGTGCTAAACCTTTGTAACAGTGCACTATGATAATGGCTGGCCATATGTGGCACCTAGGCACTTGAATTGTGTCTAGTCACAGCTGAGATGTGTTGGAAGTATAAAACATAGACCAAGTCCAAAGGCTTAATATAAAATAAAAAGTATAAAATACCTCATTGATAATTTTTACAGTGATATATTGAAATGACACCATTCTGGATATACTGGCTTAAAGAAATTATTATAATTAACTTCATTTGTTCATTTTCACTTCCCCCTATCCTGCAGTGTAGCTACTAGAAAATTTAAAATACCATCACTAGTTTTCATTATCCTTCTATTGGGCAGTGCCATTGCAAATTAAAAAGAAAAAAAATAAAATTAAAAAGTGGTAAAAAGAGCTCTCAGAGCAACAGCTGCATCATCATCATGGCCACCTGATTACATTTTCTACCTTAGATCCTATTTCTTTTGCTGAGGGATGACACTTTAATTATATTCCTAACAGGAGTCAAGCTAGATGGCTTCAGGAACCAGCCATAAGATTCTTACTCTTAATAGCTCTATTTGCCATCATGATTGAAGAGAAATACATGCTTATCTTTAAAATTAAGTTTACCACAGATGACCACTAAAATCCATTACAGCTCAACTACCCAAGGACCCACTCACAGTCAGTCAATCAAAACGTCCTGGCTTGCCATTTGGCAGATTTTATCAAAGGAATTCTGAAGAGTTTGACTCCAGCAGCCAATTATTTTTTAAAAAAGATTTAAACTTGTTCTCCAAATCTGACTTTGTAAGATGGGTAAACTGTACTCTGGAAGGAAAAGAATGTACTACGTTTGAAGGGGGTGTTTTCCTGAGAACTTAAGGATCATCTCCAATGGATAAGTCATGTCTGACAGACACATCTTGGAAACAGCTTTGTTAGCTACTTCAGTGCACCACATACCATTCCAGTGGCTCTTAAATGACTCTGCAGGGTCCTGGGGGTCTTTGGGTGGTGTCAGTGACCTTCAAGTCCCCAGGTTCATCCCAAAGAGGTGGTTCAGGGTCCCAGCTGGGTGCTGAACAGCACCTCACGGAGGTCAGCATGCTCACCACCAAGCCCAGTCTAATCACTGAGCCCCACTAAGTAAAAGGTGAACTGGCAGTAAGCACAGAAGGAGTTTATTCTCCCTGTTTCTCTAAAAAAGGGTGAACACACTATGAGTCTGAAATAAAATCTTATAGTGCAAATAAACAATTCTCCATTAAGCATCTTTTGATCTTTGATGGGGATACGCTAGATGTTGAAAAAAGTAATAAAAACCTGTCTTCTTCAGTTAGAGGCCTATAACATTTTATCAGCCCAATTCAGAATTACATAGAACAAGAGAGTTAGTTTAATAGAGCATTATTTTGCTTTTTAAAATTTTAATGAAGGTTTATAAAGAACTTGGATTTCCATTCATTCTTTTTTGCACATTTTCTAATAGAGAATTTTAAAAGTGCACTTCTTTTAGGATGTACGGTAGTTTCTTCTGAAAATATTTAGTGCTCTCCTTCATAGTCCTGATATATTTCTGTTTCCTTAGGATAAAATTTTCAATAGCCTCCAAACCCAATCTAACAACTTTTCAAATTTACTAATGGGGAGCTGAGGAGGCTAAACAGGTAAAAGTCAATGGCCAACTGAACAAGCCAGGGGAACTAAGATGACACGCAAGGAAGAAACATCATTTAAGTGGTAAGCTTTGCATCCTTGACTCTTCTATTTGAAAAACATTATTTTCCCCAATCCAAACACATTAGGATATGTGAGGTTTCCATCCTTGCCATGCTGATTGCTTATCTACTTTGTTAAACCGTAGAATGTTGGAGCTGAGGAGGGGAAAGGAAAACTGTTTTTCACCAGGGTCACCACAACACAACACCCATCAGGAAGAATGATGCCGTATGAGCTTTAAGCAAAACCTTTGCTTTTCAGCCTTTTTTGCTGAGATCACATCTAAATAAAGACAGCCCCAATAATGTTGGCCTTAAGGACTATTGTTAAGGTGACAAAGGGAAGAGAAGCAATGGTCAGGCTGTGTTGAAAAGCCCTCCTATAGTACTGTGGATTGAAAAACAAAACAGAACTTTGTTTTGGCATGAGTACTATTATATTTCTAGTTACAAAAGGAATAAATATTCATTTCATAAAGTTCAGGAATTACAAAGTATGAAATAAAAATCACTCACAATTCCATCATGCAGAGATAATCACTATTAATGCTTTCTGAGTATATCCTTTTAGACTTGTTGAAAGAAGTCTTTTATATAAGAAAGAAAAAGAAAGAATAATTGCCTCAGGTACAGGAAAAGCCATTGGTAGCCATCAGCATTCAAATCACAACTCTTATTCGAGAAGGAGCAGGACTTGGTCCAACCTCAACTTTAGCATTTAGCATTGGCTGTGAACTTGGGAAAGTCACAGAAATTCCAAAGGAGGAACATACACAGCAAATATTCAAATATCAACCTATTTCAATACATTCTGAAACTACAGGAACTGGGTGAATCCCTTGATATTCAAACCCAAAATCTTCCCTGATATATTCTTAAAAGCAATCAAGAGTTTGGCTTACCTAGTAAAACACATTGACTTTGAATATTATGCTTTTTAAAGAACAAATATAGATCAAAGTGACAACAGCAATTGGAAAGCTTGGATGGAAATCTTGGGGGGGCACAATACGTTTATGTTAATGAGAGAAGAACAATTCAGCAAAGGAAAAGCATTGTTACTCAGCTCAAGGAGTGTAAATTAATTGTATAGGTAAAGATGGTTGACTTAGTATATGTTTTGTTGGGTATCTCACTTTCAACAGCAAAACAAAATATTTTTTAAAAAATTCTACAAATGAAGAACTTCATTTCCATTGCTCTGTCTGTTGGCCTATCTAAAACAGCCAACCCCTCCTTGTCACCTCTATAACATTAATGTCCAGTAGGAACCAACCCATAGCTGATCCTCTGGCAGCTTCACAGAGGCAGTTAATTGCACAGGAGGTGACTCCCATCCTTCTCCCGTGGAGAGGCTGGTGGATTTGAAACATGTGCCTTTGGGATTGCAGAGTAGCTTTTTGCCACTAGGCCACCAGAGTTCCCCTAGTGATCTATAATTACCTTGTGATTAGTATGTGTTTATATACTTAGAATATATTTGCCTCTCCTCACTAACCCCTCAAAGGGGAAGCTCTATGAGAGGAAGGATCTGCATTTTTTGTTCACTGTTACGTCCTAAAAACTGCCTAAAACTGGGCCAGGTTTCCTGGATTAATGAATATACAGAATACCCATACAATCTAGGCTTTTCAACTTCCCTCACATCAGGACAAATGGAACAATTTCTCCTTTGTTCCCTCCCCACCCCTTTGTCCCAAACGTCTTCTGCAGATTTTCAGTAGAGCCTTTGCCACTTCAGACATCCTATAATCACACCTCTAACAC